AGGGACTTTGTTGGTCTTTCCCACATCCTTAGTTATAGAAACATTTCAAGAGCATTTCTTACCTAAGAATATAAGACTAACTGATGGAGAGAACTATGAAGTAAGTCCCCAGAAGAGTTAAAACAACTCAACATGAAGTGTCTGGAGTAAACTACAAGTTAAAAATTCAGATGCAAGCAGGGCTGTAAAGCAAACGTTTGCTATAAAAGGATTCTGCTGCATAATGGGTGACTTCAAACCAAATGGTGACTGCCAAACTTAAACTGTATTTGGTATTAATAATAGTCGCATTTAAATTAATATGCAATATGAAAATGCTACAGGTAACACATAACACATGAACATCTGAACTCAAGCGTCTTAACTAGCACTGTCTGATAAGTCACTTCCACAACATAAATCCATAAAGGAATGCAGAATCTGCAACAGAACAATCAAAACCAGACTGAGGGATTTTCAGTTTATTTGCCCCCCCACACACTGTAATATTTACACTACCCTGAAAATAACTGTAAAGATATCCATATGCTATGAATTTTCATTATTTTCCTTGTTAAGGCAACTCAATTCCAGCTATAAAGTATCTTTCACCTTTACACACTGCTTAAGCTTCTTTTTTTTTAGTTGCTCCTGAAATGCTCTTCGCACTATGAGATCTCTCACCCTATGCCCATTGTGGCTTCATCAGTACAAAGTGAACGTGTGATCAATCCATAAGCCTAAAGTTCAGGCTTTTATGTTCCCCTGCCCTCCCATACAGGAAGTTTATATGGAAAGCTCCCCTTTCCCCTCCTCAGCATTTCAATATTGTGACTAACTAGTCACAATAAATTCAACGTTCAATTCAATTCACAAAATTCAATTCAATTCTAACCAATGTGATTTTCAGTGAACAATGTTTTCTTTTTCAAAATTGAACCTGAAAGGGGCATGGCAACATAAGCACAAAACAAAGGAAAACATTTTCATAAAGCTGTGTGGGGTTTGAGCCGAATTGTTTCCATTTACTTTCAGAATATTTAGGGAAAATATTTGCCTCAAGTCTGAAGTTACTACTCATGTTTGTAAGCACTGCTTGGAGTCATCAATACTTAGGTTTGCCCAACGAAACAAAGTGTTTGTAGGTCTAGGCATTTTTTAGTTAAAGGTTCAGGTTTACCTATACGGGGTTCTCCAACATATATTGAGGATTTCTAACTTTTTAGACTTTCAGCAAACTAATGATCAGAAACTAATACCACACACAACTTTCATTCCCAAATCAGTCCTCCAAAGTTGGAGTGTGTATCTGGAGCAAGGAAACTGATTTTTCTTGAATGGAACAGAAACTGGGAAGAGCATTGCTGCAACCAGAAGCAAGTAAACGCTGTGCTGTAAGTAGAAGAGGGCACAGCTCTGTGTTAACCCTCTCAGAGCCACAGCTACTGGCTAAGCCCAGTAGTTTGTGCCTGAAGCAACTAACCTGGCTCAGGGCAAGTGAACTACTGCATATAGTCTGCAGTATATCTTGATGAAGTTTGTGGTATGGTTACACTTCATTATTTACAAGGACTTATGTAAAGAACTATTTACAGTAAAATAACCATCTTATTATTGCCCTTGCAAGCCTAGCCTTGTTGCTACACTCCAGGAAGTCCCTGCTGCCTTATCCAAACTGTCTTCTGGGATGCCACATAAGGGCTTAAGTCTCACAGTTAGCTATGACTCTGCAATAATCTTTTTTTCTATATTCAGCCTTTCAAAAATAAGGTTTTTGGGAGGAGGGAAGTGTGCTATGTGAGAAAATATGGTAGATAAAGTTGAACAGGATGAATTTTGCGTGGCCACTTTGTCTCTACTTCTAAAACTTCTACTATTCCCAATACAGAAACTATCACATATGCATCCACACCAGTAGTTAGACTGGAAGAGCTCAGTTTAAGTAGGGAAGCACAATGCGTACTGAAACCTGTCAGTGAAACTCACAGTCTGAGCTACGATTCAGCAGTCCTTCTGGCTGCAGTCATTACAGTTAAGTTTTGTAAAACATCTTATATTCAAACCCATTTCCTCAACTACATACACTGTTAGTTACTTGTAATTAACCTGTAAACCTGGGGAATTTACAAGTCCAGCTACTAAAGCAGGATGAGACTGTAAATTCAAGGAACCCAATGTCTCTGGAGTAAGGGATACAGAAGGAAGTTTATTCAGCCCACCACTGAAGAATTTACAGCACATTTGTAACCACCACCAAAACACTGGTTTAGAATAAAACTTGTAGGTCCCACTGGGAAAGCCTGTGATACTTGCACACTGCACAAACTACTCTCTCAGAATCTCTCTTGCTCACTATCTTAACTCATCTAAAAAAAAGTCAGGAAAGTTAGGTGAAAATAAAACGCACTAAATATAGCACAATGGTTGCAAAGTCAAGCACTTGAAGGTAAGAACATTTCAAAGCATAAAGACTTCTCCCAGAACATTAACTCCAGTATATTGTACATTTTTGTACAGCTAGAATTTCTGTCTACTCTGTGTTCATGAAATCTGTGAGCTAAGGCCCTTCTACACATTACAGGCATTGCACACGTAACTGGTTAACTGCGCAACTACATGGAGACCAGCTACACATGTGAAGTAGTTATCACACGATAAAAGTTTCAACCAGCTATAAAGTTAGACTTTGAAAATGTGTATTAACTTTATAGCTGGTTGTTATCAAGCTTTATTTTGCATGTGTAACAGGATCTTCCCTGTGGCTGGGAGCCTATCAACTGACAAGGCTCCCAGCCTCAGGGGTGCACCATGCCCAGTGTACAACCCCTGAGCCCTACGGATCATGGTAGCTGCGGTCCCCAGGGTCCAGGGGTTTCGTGCACTCCCAAGACCTAGGGATTACAGCAACTGCAATCCCCAGGTCAAGGGATTGTCCCACCTCATGGGTGTATGAAATCGTTACAGCAGAGATCATCCAGCCTGGAGATATGTGGGGTGCTCCCAGGTGGCTGAGATCCCCTCAACCTCAAGAGGGGGACTGCCAACCACAGGAGCTTGCTTCTTGTTGGTGCAGGGGGAGCCCACAATCAGGCTCCCCCTGAACCAGCAATAAGACATGAAGGAATCTAATGTGTGATCCAACTATCACGCCTCCTGCCATGCATGTGTGGCATCTCGATTCCATCATGCCTTTACCTGCATGTGTACAGGGGGCCTTAATGTTTGCTTACTTGGGGGGAGAGGGGGCAGTGCAAGTGAATATATATATATTTTTAATTACTACTAATGAACAGGGATCCTGGTTTTCTCCGATTTAGAAAAATCCCCAATTTTCAGTTTAAAAAAGTAACCCCAATTCCACATTTTTCCATGATTAAAATGAAACACCACTAGATATAGATATTGATATAGATCAGTGGTGTTTCATTTAAAGTCACAGAAAAATGTTGATTTGGAGTTACTTTTTTAATTGGGGATTTTTTTTTTTTTTTTTTTTTTTTTTAAATCAGAGACAACCAGGACCCCTGCTAATGAATGACATAAAAGAGGATGTGCAGCATAACCAAATTACAACTTTGTGGAAGACTACTTAAATTTTTTAACAGCCTGCCTCATAAAAAACTTGCTGTGTTGATACAAGCTTTTGCTGTTTAAAGCATACTAACATCAAGTCAGCATTCCTTGGCTTTTTTTTTTTTTTTTATCTACATTACTATGGTGATGTAGCAGTGCTCCTCCCCGAAGGCAGCCTTTGATAATCTTATGGGTGAAAACTGATCTTTATCATTCCATTTTATGAAACAAGAATGTCTAGTGCTCGGCAGACATAACAGTTTAAGAAGAAGACCAGCAGACTCACTGTGATACCACTGCAAGGAGATTCAGAACTATGACTGAAGTCTTATCAGTTGACCTATGCCTGGGTGCTGGTTTATACATTTTTCCCCCCAGGTGGCTTATTCATAATGCTCTAAGTCCACCCCCGGGGATCCTGTATCCAAGGTATCACTTCCAAGTGGGGGTGCGTGCACACAGATGTCGAAAAATGAAAGTCTGCAGTGATCCTCTTAAACTTGTGTCTGAGGTGCATTCATTGTAAATGCTCTGCCAATTAGAGACACCGACTAGTAGAACACACAACAGAAACTTTGCTATGTTAAAAAAAATTGTTGGAGATTAATTGGTGTAGAACAGTAGGTTGTTGGTCTGAAAATACTCACTCCGTCTGCATAGACAGCAGAGTCAGTCCAACACTGCTCGCTTTCTCTCTCTCACACACATACCCACACTGAATTCAGTCTGAAGCCCATGTGATAATTGCAGATATAATGCCATACAGCACAAGTGGAATCTATGGCAGAAACCTTCATTATTCTGATCAGTTTTAAATAATTTAATTAAAACTAATATAATTTTGAATACCATAAACTGTGGACATTAAAGGATTTAAGTATGGACATATATTTTTATTGCTGGGTTAAATTTCCTCTCTTCCCCATCTAAAGCTCCACAGTAAATCCCCTGAGTCAGTTTCAACCACTATTTTACACTGCTGAGTTCTGCCAGCAATCTGCTCATCATTCTAGCAGATGTTTGTTTTCAGGCCACTGGGAACTTTATTGGACCCATTTCCTTTTAATATATTTAAACCGTTTTTAGGCTGTAAATGTTCTAAGTGAAACCACTGTCCTCAACCCCCTTTGCCTCTCTCAAAGCAGAAGCTTGAAATTATGTATTTAAAAAGGCAGTGTTGTCTTCTTTGGAAATTTTCTGAAAAGGAAATGCCACTGATTCGCAGACACTGGGACCATCTGCAGCAATTCAAATATATAGACCTTTCACCTTCATGAACACAGAAAGTCACTTAAGGGCAGACTGCCTCAAAGGTCAGTTTCTGCAAACAGAAAATGACTTCCCACATCTGACAACTTTCTTTTTTTTAAAGGGAATAAAGACATTAAAGCACTAAATCACCACCTATCCTCTTTCTAATGAAAGAGGACATCACATTCTCTGCTTACCTCAGTAACATCCATGACTTTGATGGCTGCCAGTTGACCTGTTTTGACATGTCGGCCCTGAAAAACAAGAAGGACAGTCAGCACCACCATTCACTGGAGCCACGTAAACAGAGAGCAGAACAGTTACAACAAGACATTTTAACACTGGATTTCCACAGTGCATCCTAAAAGTTGTCCATTCTGAAGAAAAAGGATGTTAGGAGCATGTTTTAGTAAAGCAGAGTTTAAAAGAAAGGCCAGGAGGAAGGCTTATCAATTTAAACCAGTAAATAAAGGGAACTTGTACATCAAATAAATGGTGTCTTGTGTGTATGCTTTGCAACTTTTTATCAGTCTTCCCTTCCTATATGCCACACATTTTTGGTTTATTGTTTCTTCTGTTTCCAAGCTCATGCTTTCCTGCTGCTAGTAACTGCCTATTTGATTTTTCTCCATTTCTCCCTGTTTCCTCTTTTGAATCTGGCCTTGTGTCCCCCTTCCCCATATTATCTTTTAGTGTGTGTTCTCTTCCTCCACTCCCACCCTTTCTCCCACTTGTTCTCTCCATTTTGTATTTCTCCCAGTCCCTTGTTTTTTCATCTTCTCCAGTGTGCAAGAGGAGGCGGCCCTGTTACAGCTGGGCCCAATTCGGGCTTTGTTTTCAGCAGCCCATGGGTAGCCATTGTTAGTGAGCCTAGGCCATGGGCCTACATGGGACTGGTTGGGCCTTTTGTGGTCTTACTGATTGAAGGACTTTGCTTAGAAAGCAGAGGAGGTCAAGGTATGTCAGGGCTAGCTACACAATTTTCAAAAGGAGATGGTGTCTTTTGGGTGGGAGGGGAAAGAATGTCTTTGCCTTAATTTTGGAGTGCTGATCTTCAGAGAGTTTAGAAAGGCTGAGAGGTTACTAAGAAAAGGCGGCTTTGTTAACAGATGCATCAAGTCGGTCAACAAAGGTGGTTACTAACTTTGAGACTCTTAGCCACAGTTTCTGCTCCAAAAAACATACAAACCAGGGACGGGGAATGTTTGCTGGTTAGTTCAGGGATGGGTGTGGGATATTTGGAGGCACTTGGGGTGTAGGAGAGAAGTCGGAGACTTGGTTTGTCAACATTTGTCTAGATTAATGACTTGAATTTGTTGGCTGGTTCAAAGTAGTGGATTTCAAAGTGGGCTTGAAGAAGGGGCAGGTTCCTTGGCAGGTTATCCTGTGTTGGTGGGTTTCTATAAGTAAGGGGTCTGCTTGGAAACAAAATTGGGCATATGATGAACACCAGTACCCCTAATAAGAGCTTGTTGCCCTAAGGTATGTACAGAAATGCTCCATGCACGTTTTATAGTGCTGTAATTTAGAGCACTTTTTAAAGCACTATAAAGTTACAGTGCTCTTAAACATGACAGAAGTGAAGTGTTGGGGGGAGGGGGCTTGAATGTCCCTGCCTTTTCCAGGCTAGGAGGCAGGGCGTGCTCTGCAGCCTCCTGGGGCTTCTCCACAGGTCATAAATTTGACCAGCATACAGATGTCATTTAAAGCACTGTAGCTGTAAAATACAGCGCTTCAAATTTTTAATATCCTATTTAATGAGGGTTAATTTAAAACACTCTACCCATTTTTTAAAGTGCTGTGAAGTTGTGCACTTCTCTTAAGTTAGGGTGATAAAGCGCTTTAAATGGCAAAAAAAGCAACTTCTGTACACACCTCTAATGGTGTTTGTTTTTACTGTGGAATCATTCATGCACCTTAATTATCTTTTTGTAAAAAATATGGCGGGGGGGCAGCATTTTTGTGCAGGGCAGCTGGGTGATCCCAGCTACAGATAAAAGTAGTCATGATCTTGCCTGGCTAGCATGTAGTAAACACTTCAGGTGCATTTTGTACATTATAGTAAGCAAGCTATTGGGCATTTGTGGTCTTGTTGCAAGGAACCCCAATCTTTAGTCAGTATAGACAAAGCTGAATAAAATGTCCTGGTTTTAGATGTCTGTCTTCGATGATTTTATGTTGTTAGTTAATTAATTAATTACTTTTTTTACTCTGCTTTACTAAAACATGAAGCCTGAAATTTCCCAGGACTCAGTTTCTCAGCTTTCGCCAACAAGAGGTGCTATTCCCCCCCCCGCCGTGATGCTGGCTCACTCCAGATAACCATAGCATGCAGCATCCTGACTTCCTTTTGAGAAAAAGCTGTCCTTTCCTTGCAGCATTAAGAAAGCCTGCTGGTGCCTCTGCTGCTTCTTATCATATTTTGGCCACAAGAGCAACAGTTAAGTGCAGCTAGCTATTGCTTCAACAGCAGGGACGAGAAAGGCTTCAACAAAACCCTCCTAAGGGACTGCAAAGTAAGGGAATAGCAGACTGTGGGAAGTGTGGGATTCCCAGTATCCCAAGCCAAAGTTAAGCCCCCCTTCATGTTCAGAATGTTGTTTGAGTTATCTCAAATACCTTCTTCATAACGTATGGCATATTTCTGGTCCTTGGTATACAGAATACACATGGGATCTCTTTGTATAGAAAACTGGTTTATAATGCATTAAAACCACAGAAGCATTTTCAAATAGGGTTTCTTTTCTTTTATTAGAAACATTTAAAAAGAAAAAAAAACAAACAAACAGATCCCAAACCACCATATAAGCACACGCAGAGCTTTCTATTTGTTTGTTTTCTACAAGAGGCCATTCAAGAACAGGCTTGTTAGAACGTAAGACTGCTGCTGTAACTTTATCTGCAAACTCAAGCATTTAGGGATTTCTGTTTTGGAAACTGCTCTTCAGATCATTGTCATTAAGATTTTGTTTAGGGGAAGTTGATCAAAAAAAAAAATAAATCAGAGTGATTTTAGCGCCATCAAGGATTAGAGAAAAACTGAAGATGGACAAAACCCTACTATGGTGATTATCAACTAGGGTGCCACGGCACCCTGGAATGCTTTAAGTGTCTGTCAAGGGGTGCCACACAATGTTAGCACTGTTATGTGCGCAAACATGATTCACAAGATAAAAGACTTCCAAACAGGAATACAGAGTGTTGAAAACATTCTGACCTGTTGCAGTCGTTCCTTGCAACAGAAAAATTGTTCTATTATTTTTTCATAGTGAAAAATCAAATGAAAACTAAGAGCTGGCATTTTCCAAAGGTCTTTGCTAGGGTTCAGAACCACACCCTACTGGACTGTTCACTCACTCCCCAACAAGATCAGGAACGTACATGACATACACAGCATCTGCTGAAGTAGACTGTCGCCTACAAACGCTTATGCCTTTCTGAACGAGTTAGGCCCAAGGTGCCACTCTGTCCTGCCTTCTGCCTGAATCAAAACTAACATAGTTTATTCCCTGTCCCAAATCTTAAGCAATTAACCAAGGCTACACTATAGCAAGCTCATAGGCCTCATCCACCGGGTAACTCTTTGCCATGCTTGTAACAGGTCAGAGCACTGGTTCAGAACCGAGGTGCCAGAGCACCCAGAACCGACCAGGAGTGCTGCAATGCTGGCACAACCACCACCACCACCATGGGGTGAAATTGCCCCATGTACGTTTGTTTTCAGGAAGTGCATCAGAGCCAAACTAACAAGTGGGAGACACCATAAGGTCGAACCAGGAAGGGCTGCAATGAGTACATGCTCCCACTATACACGATTCCTAATCTGGCTCCGCAGGAAGCACATGCCACACTTCCACCTGGCTGTGGTGGCAGTGGGGTTGATAGCGTAAGTTAACGATAGAATCATAACATGCATATTTACATTATGTTTTTAAGGGGGTGCAACTATATTTTAAAATGTTTAGAGTCTAAAAGGTTGAAAACCACAAGATTAAAAGAAGCCCTTTTATGGCATCCTATGGTCTATAGGCTATGGAACCTAGGCCTGAACACAAAATGATTGAAAACTAGGCACAAACTCAAATCACATTAACTGGGAGCAATAACACTAAACAAGTCTCTATGTCAGAAGTCGGCAACACTTTTGGGCAGACTAACAAAACCAGCAGCAACCTCAACTTGTAAGATGTTGACTTGCCAGGGGTGGTGGGATGGATGGTGGGAAACCACAAGGGGCCCGATCCTTGTGGCAGCACAGCCCCAGCCTCGTCCCTGCTGTCTGCCCCAAGATGGACATGCCAAGCAAAATGCCTTTGTGTGCCACAATCTAGCACCCGTACCAGAGTTGCCTACTCCTGCTCTACATTGTTTTAAAAAAAAATTGTAGGTTTAGCATGGCTGATCCCTATCCATAAAAGTCATTCATACAATTTCATACTGTGTAGATCATTTCAGCAAGTCTACTGATTGAAATCTACTTTTGCACCATATGCTTTTTCTAATGAACCCATTCCTTTCTTTTTTCTTCCCTTGCTTTCTTTTGCATATTTATTCATAATAGAAGTACTCCTTTACCCTCCCTGAGAAGGAATGCAAAAATATTTTTGAAGAGAATTACTCAACAGTTCCAATTTTAAATCATCCACTGGACAATTTTAAATCACCGTCTCTGCTCAGCTGAAATGAGGAGGTCAGTGGAGTTGAACCTACTTCCAAGTCTTAATCTGGCCTTATTTTTTTTCTTTTCTTGTTGTCAGAAAGTCCATTTACATATGGAGGATTAAAATGCGTCTTCTAATCACACATGCTTCATGGAGAGTTAAACACATTGCAGTGTTTAACTGGATCACATGATGCTTAAACATGCTCCCAATAGAGCCTCCTAGCAGCCTGCTGTTTGTTTCTCATCTCTGTGGAGTTTAAGATATATGCACTTAACGGGAGAAGGGAGGGAGCAGAATCAAATCAAATATGTTGTTCTTGGTAGGCTGCCAGGATATGTACAATACTGTGAATTTCAAGCTTCCCCCCTTCTCACCTCAACACACCACTTTTGGGAAGGGTCTTTACAAAAAAGAAGGGGTTTTGTTTTTGTTTTGTTTTTGTTTTAAAATAAAAGTGACTCAGTACTATCAATAAATTACAGGAATTAAAAGGTCCAATGCCCTATTTGATCATTCACCCCCTCCTCACTATGTTACGAAGACTGTATACTCAATGCAGTGCAAGCTATGTTCATGATGACATGCAGTCTTCACACAGCGTATTACTATGCCCTTAGGGACACTTCCTGGAACTCTGCTCCCCAGTCAAATTGCCAAAGAACAAAATATGAGGTGATGCTCCTAATTATGGGTGGAAAGCAGCCTGAGTCGCTCACACCACTGAATTATCTGGATACTATTAACTTATCAGAAGACCTTTCCTATGTTCCACATTATTCTGTGCAGACAGCTGTGGGGATGAAGAGAAGAAAGATTGAACTGAAGACTTACTAATTCTCAATTCAGTATTCAACCACAAAATATGCTTGAACAACAGACTGTATCTAAACATGCTATCGAATGAAAACGTTGTGCTCATTTTACTCTACCATTGCCCTACAACAATGTGCTAAAATTAGTTTACACCTTAAGCTTCTTGTTTAGTTGATTATGATATACAGAATCCTACCAGCCTTCGGCAATACACTGTGCAGCAATGCTACGGTATTAGGCTACTCAACTATTACGGTCAATGCCTTGAGGCAATGCCTCTGTATTATTCTGATATATACTCAGCTCTTCTCTCCCACTCACCACCAGACAACTCCCAGACAGCCAAGTGCCTGCTGAATACCTTAAAATTTATACACTAAACACACCCACAAGAAACAGCTTTTCAGGAGAGACCCAGTGGGCCACACTGCCTCAGAAAACACCAGTAAGAATCTTAGTTTAAAGGATGCCCTCATTTGCTGGAGAAGACAAAGACAATCTGGAATCTGGGTCTTGGCAGACCAACTATTTGCCACTGTACCTGAAAAGCTGTGTTCATCTTCAGCAACAAGTGCTGCCCGTCGCTTTGCCAGGCCCACAGAACATGCTTGCCCAGCAAAACCCACAAATGAAACCAAGGGTTCTGGGTGCAGACAGAACTACAGCTCCCAGCTATAACTCTCAACTATAATTCTGCAAAGCACTCTGAGTTACAACACCACCCCAGACCAAACAGAAGTTCAGTGCTGGCTCTGAGGGGGGTAACTGCCTGCTGGTAGACTTCACCAAGGTTCCCGTAGCAATGGCCAGGGCTCTCTGCCAGGGCTCACCGTTTTCAAAATGGGACGGGGGAAAAGGAAGCAGACTGAGCTTGTTCTTGGGGCTCCCCAGCTGGTGCTGAAGGGTGGGGTGGGTGAATTGGAGCCCCCACCCACCTCAGGGGGGCTCCAATGAACCTGCCCCACCCTACGGGGGGCTGAAAGACCCCAGACTGAACTCCCCCCGCTCCCTTTTCCCCCTCCCAATCTGAAAAACAGGGACAGGCTGGGAGCTCCAAACACAAGTTACCAAAGATACTACATTTTGAAACACCTCTATCTGATACTTCATGCAATGAGGGGTCAGATTTTCACCAGATAACCATTTTTTAAGCAGTCTGCAGGTGTGCACTTGTGACTGTTAACATTTATAGACTGCTTTTTGTGGCCAGATCAGGCAAAACACGCCACATCTGTCTGCTCCCTATGTTTCAATTTCAATCTCCTTCTGATAGGATGACTGTAGGTGACATTGTGATCCTGACACTGGGGAAGAATGAAGACAGAGCAAGAAAAAGAGAATGGAAGGAAAATAAAAACAAGCAGTGAGGGGTGGGGAATGAGAAGGGGCTATGCTCTTTTGGACCAGTGTTGAGCAGCCAGTGTTTAAAAGGGTATACCGAGATGGTCACATCACCAACTCTGTATCCTTTTTTAAGGCTGTATATTCACCAGCTCAAGCTCAGCAAAACATACATCCTGTTTAGCAAGTGGACTTTACAGAATCACCCTCTGCCAAACAGCAAAAGCCAACTGTGACCACCAGCAACATCTGCCTCAAAGTTGCAAAACGTTTCACGCTACGCCACACGTTCAAGTCACCTGGAAAGTGCAGTTCCACTAGAAGGCAGCCTCCAATAACAAACACTGCACCCTGCATTCCAGGAGCTGAGCTGGCCAACATTTGGTTTCTGGTACAAGTTTAATGTGATGGCCCTGCTCTAGAAGCTCCCCAGTACATGGTGCCCTGTCTGCTTTAGAGACTCCCCCATGAAATGCCCAACTGAATGAAGCAAACAGCCCCCTGATTTAACTGGAGAAGCAGAAGGCAGCAAACCACTCATATAGCGAGTAGTTGCCAGATTTATATTTCATCTGCCCTTTCACAACAAACTACTACCTAGATGTAGGGACCTTCAAGAGGTACTGGATGATTGTCCATTTCCAAGCATGGCACTAGAGGCAGGTCCCTGCCCCCAGCCCCTTATTGTTTGCTCTATTACTGTTATGCATCTGTATTTTAAAAATGGACTTTGATAATGTAATAGGGGCATTACTGGGGAAAAATAGAATAAAAGAGAAGGGAATCCCAACTGCAGACCTACCCTTGGCTCAGCACACCATTGACTCCATCTGAGAATGCTCAAGTTTGCCACTCCCCAATAGCTCGTTCAAGTCAGCTCTCACCATACCTTAAATCCTTACCAATTTATTAAACAGACCTGCTTTTAATACAGATGTTACTTCTGGACCATTGGAACAGTTCTATAATTTATTGCAGGCAACTGTAATTAAAAGCAGACCTACAAACAGAATGAAGAATATCAAAATTTAAATCAAAATGATTAAATGTGGGCATGCAACACTGAAATTGATGTAGGGGATAGATTTTTTTTGGGGGGGGGGGGGCAGGGGGAGAAAGGTTGTAACCTGTAAGCTTCCTTTTAATTTCATACCAAAGTAGACTTTTCCTGCCAAAAGCACTTTAATTCCCCATGCAGACCACCCCTATTGAAACAGACAATTTTGGGGCACTGACCCAAGCGCTTCTGACAAGACACATGAACTACAATCATAGAGAATGAGAAAACACTGCCAAAGACACTGCTCCAGAAAAGTAGCGCAAGATCTTCAGGGATCGAAGGGAGCAGGACTAAAGGGTTTTCCAAAAAAAAAGAAAGAAAAGAGACATTCAACCGATGAAGTCACTTGACACCATCTATATCCACAGCTCAGAAATGAGGATTGAACCAACCCAGCTAGTTCAGAGTGTACAAATTCATACAGGAGAAACCTTCAAGCTGCTCAGATTCGACGGCATCTTCCAAATGCTATCCAACTATGGTACCAAAATAAATAAGTCCTAGTAGTAAATGGTGAAACTCTGGATTTTGTTTTTTATTTTGGTCTGTTTTGGTTTTAAGAATGAAATCATGCTGACACTTGAAGTCATCATCAATGAACATGAAACTTATCAGACTAAATGAAACAATTAACACCCTAAGACCCGAGGTATCTTCAGACTCAGACATGCCTATATTGGTTCCACTCAGTCCATTACTAAAATTTTCTCTGCAATCACAACTACTAAACATTCTCCTTGCTTTAAAGGCACAGGATCCTGGAAAACCCAACTCCGCCTTTGTGGTATCTCTGATAGGACAACAGAGTATCTACCATTTCCAAGCCTGAGCCTAGATGGTGCACATACCACCACCACCATCCCAATGTAAGACAAAATGATTCAATGTCAGCAAACCGAGTAGAACAGCTAGTCTTCAATGGAAGTGCCATCATGCAAACTCAGTACTTTCACATAGTTTTCCATTGTTCGGGGCACAAGCCAGGTTGTGCCTATAGCCCCGGTGGGTTCTATCCCCTGATGTTAGTTTGCGAGAGGGAGAGGTAGACTCATAATGGTCCCAGAACATTTTATTTTGATCTCTTACTTACGCACCACTGGTGTAGAAGTGGCTGCGCAGGCGGTTACACTTGGATCCGTCCCGGTTTGAATAAGGGACGAACGAACGAAAAACAAAACGATGGATCCGAGAACGAGAACAAACACGGAACGAACAAGTATGATCGAGTGCACAGATGATTGCCTGATGGTCCCGGAGGCAGGAGAAGCTGTGGGAAGCTGGCCAGGCCTACCCACTGAGCGGTGAATGCTCTGGCTTCTCCCACCTGCGCGGTGAATTCTCTCTCTCTTCCTCCCCTGGCGAAACCTTAGCTTTTATAGGCCAGATCACAAGCTCAATTTCAAGCAGGGTTTTTCACAGGGGACGGGGTTTCCCCAGCACATAGCCAGGGGCCATGTAGCAAACCAAATAGGGGCTTTCCAGATTGTGAGGAGAGTGCTTGACGGCATTTGTTGCTGAGCAGAGCTGGCAGAGTCCAGCTGGAGCGTGACATCCATGAGGATACAATACTTCTCAGAAAGGCCCTATGTCAGAGTTGCACAGCCCCCAGAAAAAGATATCTTCTTCACACCATGACAGAAGTAGTAAGCATGGCTACACATGCAGACTCTGTTTCACTTGCTCTACAGGCAACCCCCGCTTAGCGCTCTTAATTGGTTCCTGAAAAAACGAGTGTTAAGCAAAACAAGAGTTAAGTGAAACCAAAAGTATTTGACAACCGTTTTTAATGACCCAAGATAGCAACTGCGAGCATTATAATGAAACTTGCTGAATGCCAAGTGAAATCAGGTATCAATTTGAAATGAGTGTTACAGCAAAATAGCGCCAAGTGAAACAGAGTTAAGCATGGGTTGCCCCTACTGTCAAAAAGCAGTGGTTACAGTTACTATACTGCCACTAGGCAACCAAGATAAAGGATCAGAAAGTGTATGACTTTCAGTATAGCTATTAAGCATCCATGCTGAAGTAAAAGAAAAGCCATGACCAGAGCTCAGCTACTCACCCTTGAATACCTAACAAGTGCATGGTATCTACAAACAAATACCATTAGACAGACTGTAGAAGCACACAGCTAGGGATTTGAAGAATGGCAATAGCTTACTATCACTGTAGAGCAAAGAAGAGAAAGCAGAGGAAGCAAAAAGGAGAGGAATCCCATCCTTACAGCCTACTCTCCCCTACAAAAGACCTGCAATTTCTGCGGACATATCTGTGGCTGAAGGATTGGACTCTTCCATCTGTAGAAAACATCCTTAAATCCAGGAACTGCCAATGATGGCTATTGATATAAGCCATTCAATGCCCTCAGCTGCTGCTGATACACTTACATAATATAAATGCACAGCTATCCGGCTTTGGGGTCCATTCAACTGAAAGATACAATATGTTGCACCAGACGCATCACAGCAGCACTGAGCTCTCTCCAGCAAAGCAAAGGAAGGGTTACTAAACTGAAATGAAAACCCACATTTAGTTCTGAATGACCCCAACAGATGAAATGCTTTCACAGAGCTAACTTGACAACCAGTCCAGGCTCTCTGGGGCAATGAAATTCCAATCCAACTATTATTACATCTCTTCCAGCCTTTTAGTGGATACACACACACAAAAAAAAAGAAGAAAAAAAAGATTAGCATGCATTATGATTTTGGACTTTTCATAAAGTTACAGCTCTAAGGTATTTTGGCCACTCTAAGATATTTAGCCAGCTCAACATGTTATCAACACTACCACTTCTCTGTCATATCCTCATCACTATGAGACAGGCAGCCAGACTGGTAAATGCTGGAACTAAAATGTTTATGAAGGCCTACCTCAGTGTGAGTAAAAAAAAGTCTTAGTAGGACAAGTACTATACTGTGTAATGGTTCTTAAGAATGGTCTATTCACTGGACATCATACAGTACACACTTCACTGAACAACCAAAAAGAGATTCAAGAAATAACCCACCTGAAGGAAATGAATTGTTATATAAATCTGTTGCCTGCACTACAGTCCACCCTTACATGCAGAAGTTAAGCTATGTTGTAGGACCGGCTGAATAATAAATTTACATGGGGATTAGCTCCCTGCAAAAGAGGTGGCACTCTAGGTGAGATACTAGGCAAATGAAAGCTGTGCTTTATAAAGTGTAACAGTAACTACTGCAATGAGGAGAGTTAACATTTTCTAAATTTGCACACAAAGACGTGCATTAGCTTAAAGTTACACATTTTTAATTAACAAAATTCATAAAGCACATTTTTCACAAAACACATTTTCCACAGAATCTTCCAATTTTCTGCCAAGTACATCTGCAAGCCTATAGCAAAAACACCTTGTCCTTGAAAAACTGGCAAGTGCCCAGAGATGCAAGTAAACAGCTTTGTGTCCATACGAACTATTTCCAAATACCTTATATGTTACGCTTTCAGATGTTAAACCATTCTGATTTGTCAGCACCAGAACCTGACTCAGAATGCCAGCCTGTGCAAATACACCTCTTTTACAGACCTAAAGACTCCAACTCATTTAACAAAAGAGGTTGGAGAAAAGCGCCCAAGTAAATACATTTCTTTTTACTATACCACTTTCAGGTTGTATATCTGAGGCCTGCTTCCAGCATGTTTACTACATGAAAAGCCTGAGAAATAGAACCTTGTATAATACTGTTCTGTGGGTGTCCTTTCATAGCATCTGATAAAGTGAGCCTGAGTTCATGAAAGCTTATGAATTTCTACCCTGCCTTCAAGTTTTTATACATTTCAGAACACAGTTAAATCCAAACAAAAGAATACCAGTTGCAAATTATCCCTCATGTTCTTTTGTTATTATTTTTACCACGCGCTCAATTATATGCTACACATGCTCCCTGCCCCAAACAACATACAATTTAACCTTGATAAATACAAACAAAGGTCATAGAGCAAGCATATCATGCTGCATCTTTTGCAATTAGTCTCAGCCTACCCTCCTCATCCCTGCTATAATTCTGGGTCAATTATAAAAATCAAATAATGCAAAAATTACTCCAGTGGAAAAAGATTTGTGGATTTTTATCCCAAACATGTAAGGCTTCTTCTATAACTGTGCTTGACATATATGTTATTAGACCTTTTAATGTACAGCTCAAAAAGCACTGTAGTGTGACAAATGCGAAGTCTTCTATCACTACTGTTCTACACAGAAGATGTTACTAATCTTCTGCCATTATGACAAGCAGGGATCCTGGTTTTCTCCATTTAAAAATCTCAACTACTCCGATTAAAAACCCAAAATTCACATTTTCCCATGATTAAAGTGAAACACCATTTTATTTATATATACATATACGTGTGTGTGTGCGTGCATACATGTATCAGTTGAACGCAAAGTTTTATTGATATAATTACAATTTTAAAGCCATGTGGAAGCTTACCAATGCCTCAATCGCTATAATAAAATAAATTGTAAAGACCTGTAAAGTTTGGCATTTGATTTGGGGGGTTTTTTTGTTTGTTTGTTTTTTGTTTGTTTTTTGTTTTTTTGTTTTTTTGTTTTGTTTTGTTTTTTTTGTTTTGTTTTTTTTATCATGGAAAAAAAATCAAAGCTCCCCCTTACCCACTTTGCTCACCAAATGCAGGTCCAGCTGCAGCTGTCCCCCTCCCCGGTTTGTGGTGCTGAGCAGCCCTGATGTCAGTGCCCTTCCCATGCCATTGCCCCTCGCTCCCAAGCCACAGCCCCCCATGAGACTCTCCTTACCCACCCAGCAGCAGCAGGGGGCACAACTCCATGCCACCACCCCGTGGCTGCCAGGCGGGCACAGGTGCCTCACCATGGCAACACGGAGCTCCTGGCAGCAGCACCAAGCCTCATCCCCCCAACTCTGTCCTGCTGCACGGGGTCCCACCCACTGGGCTGTGGATCCCCCCCCCCC